ATATTCTGAGGTAGTGAATTAGGCCTTTTCATCATTTGTCACATAATCATCAAAATTTAATCAAGACATTCAAATTTGAGATAAATCAGTCTGTGTGTAAATGAATGAATCTAAATAGATATGGAAAAGGTTGTGAATGTGTGTGTGTGTGTGTGTGTGTATGTGTGTGTGTGTGTGTGTGTGTGTGTGTGTGTGTGTGTGTGTGTGTGTGTGTGTGTGTGTGTGTGTGTGTGTGTCTGGGTGAATGACTGATTTTGTTGTAAAGTATCTTGGGGGGCTGTAGAACCCTAAGAAGGTGTTATACAAATACAGACCATTTACCATGTGTGCCTAAACAACTCACAACTGACAGCTGCTCTTGGTGAACATAACATCAGATAGTTTCTAGTCATTTTTTGTAGAGCTCATTCTACTGAAACAGTTCTTCATAGGCTCTTTAATGACCTTCTGACTCTCAGTGAAAGTTCTGTTCTGGTTCTGTTGGACCTGACTGCAGCTTTTGACACTATGGACACCTATCTAGTATAATGTTCACATACTACTAGATTGGCTGAGAGACTGGGTAGGCCTAACAGGATCTGCTCTGGAGTGGTTCTCCTTCTATCTGTGCTGTTTCCAAGTTTTGGCCCTCCACCACCTCCTCACCCATGATGTTCCGCAAGGTTCTGTGCTGGGGCTTCTACTCTTCCTCCTTTATCTGTTCCCTCTTCAAGCCATACTGAGCTTGTTTAAGGGAATGTTCTACCATCTTTATGCAGATGACATCCAACTGTACATCTCCATAAAGCCCCATGAGATGTCTAAGCTGCGGCTGTTACACACCTGCTTAGACTCTAATGGGGCGATGGTGGCACATGAGTTAAGTGCTCACCCCGTAATCGGAAGGTTGCAGGTTCGAGCCCCGCTCAGTCTGTTGCTATCGTTGTTTCCTTGGGCAAGACACTTAACCCATGTTGCCTGCTAGTGGTGGTCGGAGGGACTGGTGGCACCAGTGCACGGCAGCCTCGCCTCTGTCAATGTGCTCCAGGGCAGATGTGGCTACATTGTAGCTCATCCCAGCTTTCTTCTCACACCAAACCTTCTGTCGGGAATCTTGGTGTAACCTTTGACCCAGCTCTCACCCTGGATTCTCATGTCAGTTCTCTTGTTCGCTCTTCCTTCTTCCATCTCAGGAACATTGCTAAGCTGAGTCCCATTCTGTCCCGCTCTGAACTTTAGACAGTTATCCACACCTTTATCTCCTCACGCTTAGACTACTGTAACTCTCTTTTCACGTGTCTGAGCAGAACCTCCCTGAACCGTCTACAGGTGGTTCAGAATGCCTGTGCTCGGCTTCTGACCAAGTCCTCCAAACACACCCACATCACCCCGCTTCTCCTCCAGCTTCACTGGCTGCCAGTCAACTTCAGGGTTCATTTCAAGATCCTGGTTCTGGTTTATAATAGCCTAGCCTGCTGTCTATTCTACACAGAGGACAAGTCTGGATACTCAGGTAGAGAGCACCACGAGGGGCAAGACTAGCAGTTAAAAAATAACCAATCAGAAAAAAGGCCAAAATGACAACTGCATGACGTGATGCTGTAGTTGTTTAGCTGTAGTCAAATATAGCAATATATATATGTATATGTGTGTATATATGAACGCTTGATAATTTCTAATTATTCTAAAACACTCATCTTGTTTTATGACTTCATGTCACTCCAGATACCTCATACCCAAATCCTCTTTTTGTTGTGTCCCCTGTACAACCCTCACAGGCCCCAAAGGTGCTGTTGACTTATTAAATTATTAATCAAATTATGTTGTATAAAAATGAGGCTTGTCTGTTTCCAGAAAAAAAAAATAGTCAAGACAATCCAAATGAGCTTTTTAGAATGGAGTTTTGCTGTTTATCTAAAACAAGCAATGATAATGTGTAGATTTTATTTATTTATTTATTTTGCTTATTATTTCCCTGCAGGGGCAAGAAACAATACTTTTCCAGGCAGCATATCTTAACTCTGTTAGCTTCTAGCTAATGTTTCAAACTGGGGAGAAAATAGTGTTTCTAAAGTGAGCTTCACAGTTCTACTAGCATGAGGAAATGTTTCATCATTAGGAAGTTAAACCCTCTTTAGAATGGAGTCTGTAAACTAGTACTCAGTACTCCTCAGGTGTGCACTAATGCTGCTTGACTCCAACTTCACCAACAGCATCATTAAAACCCCATTACACACAATAAAAGCAGAACTCGCTTCTAATTAGCAAAAAACATAAAACACATCCATCAGACAAATAAATAAATATATCAATGCAAACAGCATAGTTCAACCAACGTTAAAGGTCAGCTTTTATGCAACAGTCCACAGTTTTATGCCTTTTCGTGCGCAAATTGTGTTATTTCTCACCACTATGACTCACTGACACCGCAAAAGATTTCTACTTGCTGTTTTAAACAAAACAACTTGGGCATTTACATTCAGAAAATTTACCAACAGATTGTTTTTGTTGATTACTGTTTGTGATTACAGTTATACAATATGACATATTGACATTGATGCATATATATATATATATATATATATATATATATATATATATATATATATATATATATATATATATGCATCAATCCATCCTTTTGTGTCCGCTTATCCGAATTCGGGTCAATGGGACAGTAGCCTAAGCAGAGAGGCTCAGACTTCCCTCTCCCCATACACTTGGGCCAGCTCTTCTGTGGGAATCCTAAGATGTTGCCTGGCCAGCCGAGAAACACAGTCCCTTCAGCTTGTCCTGGGTCTTCCTTTGAGTCTCCCCTCAGTTGGATGGAAGAAAACCTCACCAGGGAGGCGTCCAAGAGGCATTGTAATCATTTGCCTCAGTCACCTCAACCAGCTCCTCTTGATGTGGAAGAGCAGTGGGTCTACTTCGAGCTCCTCCGAGCTCCTCCGAGCTTCTCATTCTAGGGAGAGCCCAGACACCCTGCAGAGAAAACTTGTTTTGGCTTCTTCTGCAATCTCATTCTTTCAGTCACTACCCAAGGCTTGTGGCCATAGGTGAGGATAGGAACGTAAATCGACCTGTAGATTGAGAGCTTCGCCTTCTGGCTCAGCTCTCTCTTTCCCACGACAGACCAGTACAACGCTTGCATCACTGACGACGCAGCAAAACAATTCGCCCCCTGCAGAGTTGTCATGAATGTAAACTAGATATATTAAACCTGAAATGTTTTTTGAACCAGGATCTAAACATGTTTATTTCTGCTGTGAAATTGGCATTTTTAACATGTGGGTCAATGAGGATTTGCTCACTTCTGGTGCCAGCCCCCAGTGGATGTGGGTGGAACTGCATTTTTTATCTCTTCCGTGTTGGCTTCATGTTCATCTCAGGGTTATGGGGTTTTGAGTGTTTTCTATAAATTCTGATTAGCTCAAATAGGACAAAGTTAAAGCTAACTTTCTGTGTTCAGGATGTCTTGCAATTGCTTGAGATTCCAATCAATTGTTCACCAAACGGAAATAAAAAAGGAGGTTTTACAAAATCTGAGATATAAGTTTGTTTTTGCTTTCCCTAAACACAGTGTTTGGTATTGAATGTGAACTTACTAGAACATGCCTCCAGAGGACTTTGTCTACTCCTCTTACATAATGTGCCTTCTCCTGTTTCTGTCCCTCTAACTTGCTGCAGCGTCTCTGTGTGTGATAAAGTATGTCTCTCCTTCAGTATTATTATAAACATCACTGGAATTTTTGGAACCGTTCTACAGATTATTAAGAACACTTGCAATTTGTTTGTTGGCATTCACATGGTTACACATTTGGCAAAATTCCTGTCTGTCAACTGTGAGACACACATGTGCAGTCAAAAACAACAATAAGCACCTCAACAAGTCGGAATCCTTCACAAGTTGATGAGTTACATCATTCCATGCACAAACCATTTACCATCAAGTCTACAACACACACACACACACACACACACACACACACACACACACACACACACACTTTGCTGTTTGGTGGAATTGTAAACATCTTAGCCTACAAGTCAGTCTTGGTTTACTAAACTCCTGTTTTATAGAGCTCAGGAGGCCATTTCACGTCACACTTCTTAATTTGTGTATGATGCAAAAACCTGCATTCATCAACGTTTGCAAACTTTAGATTGTTCTTGTGATATAATGGAAAATGCAATCTGCTCTGTCAGGATATAGAACAGTTTTCATGATAAGAAAGCTTTAAACATTCAAAACAACAGCAGCTGGTGCAGAAGCTTAATGCAATTTACAGGCTTGTGTGTTTCAGTGCATCTTCTCCCTCTGTTTCTTGTGTTCCTCCTTTGTGGGATGCTTGTCGCTTCCTCGTTCTTAATTTACCTGTTCATTTTTATTGTACCTCGTTTAGTTTGTCCTGATTTAGGAAGTTCTAGGAGTCCTCTCTCTGCCTTCAGCTTTGTTTTCTGGTGTCAGGACTGGTTAGTAGACCTGAGCCAAATGATCATAAGAAGATATGAGAGATTAGAAAAGAAGTGTGGAGAAAAAAATGAACAAAGACATCCATCCATCCCTGCCTAGGTAGAGGCAATAGATTCAGGACAACAACCCTGACGTACCTGTCCATTTGGTTGGAAAACTGAAGTTTAAACCATTGTTTTAGAAACTATTTGTCAATACTTTTCTAAACTGTTTCATTTAAAATACATTTTAAGCTGTAAGAACAATCTGTTTAGCCTGGGTCTGACCCTGAGCCCAAAGCATTGTAGCTCTCAAACAGAAAGTGACAAACTGTCTGTCTCTTTGAAGCTAATTGGTCCTCACAGAAGCTACTAGAACCCGATCACTCACGCTCCCTGACCCCGCGTGCTCTCTTGTTTCCTATTAGTTTTAATTGACTCGTCTTTCTTTTTGTGTCGACCTCCCCTCCTTCCCTCCTCTTGCATCTTGACAGCAGCTGTCTGCAGATCTCTGCAACGGCGTCTGCAGCCTGCGTCGAGGTGAAAGAGCGACAGCAGCAACAGGAAGTAATGTCAGGAAGTTGGCCGTTTAGGGAGGTGGGTAGAAGGTGACTCGTCAGGCTTGGCAACTCGTTGAGTCGGACGGTTGTCACGACGACTGACCTCCTGCTGCTCTCAACATGACAGAGAGGATGACTGAATGTCAGCTTAACCGCTCCGCCTGTCATGTCTGTCACACCCGGTGATACAGGAAGTCATGTTTCCTGAGACGACTCCGAGCGGCTGAAGCTTTATTTATATTTGATCTCTTCTGTAAAAGAGAAAGTAAGCGAAGGATATTCTGTAGAAACTTTTCGACCCCACATGGACCCACAGAGCAGTTTGCTGGCTCCAGGTGAAGCTTCCTGGTAGGTTTCTCAGTCACTTATAAAGGTTTTATCGGCAGAAGATGAGTTTAGACAGAAAAACAGAGAGTCAGACCCTCATTTATTTTTTACAACACTTATTTAGGGGCATATAGTCAGTATTTTTTGGAGCTCAGAACATCCATGTGGTCCAAAAAAAAAAAAAAACGAGGGTTAATGAACTAATTAAAGGATATCAAATGTGCTCTGAAACAGCACTGCTGTCTTCACCAAAATAATGACCCCTTTCTTATGGGATTGTTGTCCTGATCTGGGGAGTCTGTGTCCCTGTCTGAAGCAGAGGAGTTCACGTATTGTGGTTTATTGTTGGGGTGAAAGGTGAAGTGACATATATGGTCTTTCTCTGCTGTAACAAGATAGTCGTGCTGCTTTTTTATTTATTTATTATTTTTGTGGTGAAGCAAATTCCTCATCATCATGATCCAAACAAGCTGAAATGATCTGGAGGTCAGGCTAAGCCTTAGAGATAAGAAAAAGAGTATCTGGAGCATCTGCGGTGGAGCTACGGGTAGGCAACAGTTTCTCAATGAAAAAGAGAAGATGCAGGTTATGGGATTTGGTTAGGAAGCCGCCTGGTCACATTCCCCAGAAGTTGTTGTAGGAATTATAAATCCTTTCTAGCCTGGCAGAATCATGGCATCCAGGAGGTGTCATGAGCCGGGGTGAGTACTCTCATTCACCTAACCATCTTTAGCCCCTTCAGACAGGCCATGAAAAACGGAAAAGTTCCGGACTCTGTCCGTAAGACCTTTGTGTCTGAATACAAACATCCGGATAACGTTTTCCGTAATTTAACCGGACGACGCCCCTAGTAACAGGTCCGGACTTGTCACGGACAAGGTGGCTGCTTCAAATTGGTGAGGTAGAGTTCCGGACAGGGAGGAGGAGGGGACCGGGGGACGCTGTGCGCACCTAGATAGCCCGCTGCTGTAGCATGCGGCGAACCACGGCAGCTCGCCTCCTACGGTCCCGCCTAGATGCGCGACGGAGCGCTTCACACCGCTTCAGTGATTTCTTTAACCATTGAGCTTCATCATCCAGGTTTCTTATGCATCTTCGTGTGCACAGAATTATGCTTAGCATAAGTCCGATCCCCCCCGACATCTGGCACTTTTCCCTGCTGTGTGAAGGCAGTCGAAAGGACAAGTTCCGGTACAAAAGTGGTGTGTCTAAAAACACAGTTCCGGTTAAAAACCGGATTGAATTGTCCACAAATGTTCCAGAATGTCTATCTGAAAAGGGCTCACGAGTCTCTTGCCAGGAGAGGGAGTGGCCCAGCTGTTCCTGATCAGCAATCAGCAGGGTGTTTTCCTATTTAAGGTGGATGGAGGACACAATTCAACGCCGGATGATTGCCTCCGCTTAAAGTACCTAGCCACTTCAGTTAACCTTTTGTATCTCTAGGATTCTTGTGCTTTAGTATTTTTGCTCTAGATATTTTTGGAAGTTTTTTTACTTTTGCTACCTGCTGGAGCTTATTGTGGATTACTTCCCTTCTTCAGGATTCCCACTTGTTCTCTGGTCGCTTGCCTTTGGATACCTACCTCTGACTCCAGGATTTGGATACTCAGCACGCGACCTCCATAACCCACCTCTCATCACCCCGGTGCCCCACCCACCAGGACGCCCCACTTTCCTCCACCTATGCTCCCTCTCCTACGCTCCCCTGGCTCTCAACCTGCTCCCTCCTCCAGCCAGCAAACTCTCGTCCCACAGTAAGTTCTGCTGAACACCTCTGACTAAATGGACCTCTGAATCAGAATCAATGCTCACCTGTGTTCTCCCTCTTCCAGACGCTGAGCTGTCATAGCAGTACCTACCACAGACTTATCTGTGCATCCTCAGTTCCTTCTTTATAAATAAATCATATTTTACCCCCGTTCTTGGTCTGTGTTGCATCCTGCATGTCTTGGGTTAGGTACCTTCCTCCAAACATGACAGGAGGAGCTGGGGGAGGAACATCTGGACTTCCCTCCTGGACTTGGTACAGTTACAATCTCAGATTAAAGGAATAATACTGTTGAATGAATCTAAACTAAGTCACCAGGTCCTATGTATTCATTTAATTTTTGTGCTTTTGCACCAGAGTTCATTTTAAACCTAGCTACAGAAGGCTGTCAAAAATCTGTGCTCCCATGTGTCCAGATTAGCTCTAATTTCTCCTCATATGCTTGAAGCAACAATCTGAGTTTAGTGCAACGGTATGAATATTGACACAGCTCGTAGAAAATCTTTGTTAGTTTTATCTCCTGGTCAACAGAGTTTGTTCTCCCTGTGAATTATACCTCAGAACAGAACATTCCCCCAATGACAACTCAAAGCAAATGTGTACAACTACGTTATGAGAACATACTCTGCAAAGGATCATCTTGGAATGAACTTTGAAAAGTAATAAGCATTTGGAACACACACACACACACACACACACACACACACACACACACACACACACACACACACACACACACACACACACACACACACACACACACACACAAACCTTTGCCCCCACTCTGTAAGTAAAATAAACTCAAGCCCTTTTTAATATAATTCTGATGCATTACCAAAGTGGCACAATCGTTACAACATTCATAACCTGAAGTGGCGTTAGTGGGATGAGGGCTAAAATTTCCATCAGGACCTGTTGTTGCTGCTTATCAGCACATTCTGGAGGCCACACTTAAAAAGAGAACACTTTAGTTTCCTTACATTGAATTTAATATTTACACTGATATTTATTCATTCATTAATTATGTTGAAGCATGGTTGAAAAGCAGTATCTACCTTCCATTGGTTACATTCCATAGAATTTTTATTTATTATTACTATTGTCTGATTCTAATTATTTCTGTTGGTTTCTGTGTGCTTTTAATCAAGTGAGCCAAATCTGACTGCTTGAGCAAAAACATATTTTCTGATATATAAATGGGCCATGACAAATATATTTTTTTCTTTTGGTTAACTTTTTGTCACTGTGCAACTGGTTTAAATTTTCCTCTCTGACTTGGAACATGATCTGTTTACAAATTGGCTCAGTTTTTTTCTGAGAATGCATTTTATATGTAAATCCAAATATTATTTTCTTTTCTTTCTGCCTCCAGTAGAAATCTTTTTTTTTTTTTTCATTATCTGTTTCTGGGAGTTTGCTTCTTGTTGAACCTGGAGGGGAAATCGGTTTGTTAACATCAGCAGTAAATCGCACAGCTAATGGTGTTGAAACAAGAAGGGGAGACAAAGTGCAAGAATACAAATATGGACCCACTGCAGACCGTCTTTGTGATAAAATATTAAACTTACACCATAAAGAGTAAATAATTGACTTGTAGCTCTGCTAGTTAAAGTGTGCTGCTGCAAAATGTGATGGGACTTAGTTTAGGGTAAAAGGTGCATTTTAACCATTAGCTGAATTATTTCTGTTGTGTCTGGCAAAATATTAATGTAGATTATATGTTGTATTAAAACTGCTGCTGGGCGAAGAAGCAACAACAACGAGTCTAGTGATCCCTCGCCAAGAGACAAAGAGACTTCCTGAGAGTTTAAATCTCATTTAAAAAGTTGTGGATCAGATCTGAACACACAGTCTGACTGGCTCCCCTTCACACATTAAACATTCTGAGCCTCTAATATTTTCTAAGTTCTCCAATGGTATGAGCAGGGACACAGCAAGCTGTTTTAAAGTGTGGGTGTTGAGATTTCTCTTACATATATATATATATATATATATATATATATATATATATATATGAAGAGAGGGAGAACAGGTGGCCCGGGGGGGGGGGGGGGGGGGGGGGGGTTGCCGGGCTGGAGCCTGATCTCCAGGTCATAGGGTCGGTGAGGAGGTAGCCTGGTAGTGGGTTCTTTAGCGAAGACCTGAGCGAGGTTGTGGTATTGAGGAGGGACGAGCGTCAGGTCTACGTCTTTGGGTGGTGCTGCTCCCGTCCGAGGTGTAGGGGAGCCCCGGTGGTTCTGGCAACCCGTGCCCCAGGCCAGGACCTTACTGGTGGACCAGGAGATGTGAGGCTCATGACGGCAGAACCAGGAATGGCCCAGGATGAGAGGTGTAGCCGGAGCCTGGGTGACCAGGAAGTGGAGGGCCTCCAGGTGTTGGTCAATAGTCATGTGGAGACCCTGGGTTCGGTGGGTGAGAGGGTACGGCATGATGGGCCGGCCGTCCACAGAGGTCACAGGAATGGGTCGGTCGAGAGCAGTGAGGGGTATCTTGAGCTGAGTAACTAGTCCTTGATCGATAAAACACTCCGCAGCCCCAGTGTCTAAAAGAGCCTCCAGTCTGGTCGGGCCTTGGTCCAGGTGGAGGGAGACCGGGAGAGTGGTTCGGTGTGGAGCCGGAAAAGTGGAGAGTCCGGGCAGGACAGCTCCTACTCCGACCCTGAGGGACCTTTTCCCGGTCGTTTTGGGCACGTGCCACGGTGGTGACCCATCTCCCCACAGTAAGCGCATCGTCCCTCCTGATAGTGCCATGCCCATTCCTCAGGGGGGAGATGTCCGAGTTGCATCGGCTCCTCCGTCGGTTGGTGAGCCGGACGACGGGGTGACGTTCTGGTGTATGTGGGAGCTAACATGGTGCTCGGCCGGTTCAGGATACAGCAGTCCAGTTGGAGAGCCAGATCCACTGCCAGGTCCAGGGAGGTTGGGGCCTCGTGCCCGATCATGCCCTCCCGGATTCGAGGTGACAATCCCTCCAGATAAACGGCCTTTAGAGCGGCGTCATCCCACGTCAACCGAGCGGCTGTCGCCCGGAAGCGAGAGGTGTACTGAGCCGCCGTCTGGGAGCCCTGACGGAGCTGAAGCAGCCGAGTCTCGTCCGAGACCTCGCTGCTGCGATGAACAAATGTCTTTTTCATCTCCTTCACAAAAGTCTCATAGTCATTGTAGGCAGGAGATTTCTGATTGTAAAGAGCCGCTGCCCATTCACCAGCTCAACCCGTCAGCAGTGAGGTCAGCAGAGCGACACGAGAGCAGGAAGTGGGGTAGAGTGCCGGCTGGCACTCAAAAGTCATGGCCAGGGTCGCCAACATGCCCTCCGGGGACCCCCTGGTTCCGCCCCACTTATCTGGAAGGCTGAGGCGTGGTTCCATCCTGTCGGTGACGGCTGCGGTCTGTCGTTGCAGAGTAGTGGAAAGCTGGAGAACTAGCTCGGTGAGTGAATCGAGCTTCGTGGCTTGGCGATCAGCTACGGCACGGAGCTGGTTTATTTCTGCCGTACGCTGATCCAGAGTCGTGCGTAGTTGTGCCACTTCGACACGCAGAAGAGTGAACTCCGCTGGGTCAACTTGGGACTCTGTCATCCTGTCAGGTTTGGTGGCAGAGCTGAAGCGTAGCTGAGATGGTCTGTTGCCCAGACGCGGAGTAGTGGAGGTAAGCAGCGTGGTTATCTCCTTAAGGTTAGGTTTGAAGGTTTGAAGGCTAGTAAGCCTGAGAACTCGATTCAAAGTCTGGTGAGAACGATGACAGAGTAATGAATGAAACGCAAGCACTTCCGTTTATAGTGTCGGCGTGATGACGTTGGCGGCCACGTTGGTGGCGGGAATGATGGGAAGTGGTGGCGAGAATGCCGGGAAATGGAGTCAGCTGGAGGAGTTCGTGACACATGCACTCTTGCTGCTTCAAATCTGCAAATGCCTAAACATTGCTGAGACTTTTCAGGTTGAAGTGAACGATCAATGAAACTAATGACTGTGAGTCATTATTTGTCACTCTTTTACATTTACATTTTATGGGACTTAATTTGAGATGAATGGTCCATTTTATATATGTAAATATGGAGAAATGTGCTCCACACGAGTAGGAGTATCACTTTATGAGGAAAACGATTGCCAAATACCATCCACATCAGAGGAACCTTTGTAATAATTAGCATGTCACAAGCTGGACCATTTCTGAAAGTTAAGGACATAAAAGCTCAGAGTAAATGATCTACTTAGCTGCTGCGTGACTTAACATGTAGGAAACATGTGAAAGAATAATATGTTCCCTGCTCTGGCAGCAGTCCACTGGCTCTTTGTTTATGTTAGAATTTGTTTTAAGGTCCCTTTAGTCACTTCAAGCCTCTTAATGGCATGACCTTGCTTCATTTTTTTTTTTTTTCTGCATGTTTCATTTCTAATGACCCTGTCAGTCTGTCAGGTCACCGGACCAGTTGCTCCAGAGCTCGATGAGCTAATAGAAAAATCAGGAGACCATTTGGAGCCACAGCTCTGGAGCTGTGGATGAGCCACCTCTGCACAGCTCCCTTCAATTTCAGCTTGCAAATCAGTTTTATAATGGTGTCTTTTTTTCTTAGCATTCACTGTTGGTCTTGTTTTTAATATAGCATTTTAGTTCATTTTTCTGCTATTGTATATTCATTTTTAATCATGTGTTGTCATGCTTGTTTTAAATCTATCCAAACATATTCCTAAATATGTCTTTTCTTGTAATTACTCATTTGAGTTTGGTTTATCATAATAATATACATGTTTTAAGTTTACTTTACCTTTACATATGTCTGTTGTTATCTAAATATGTTTTGGCTATGCATGTGCTGTACTCCTTGCTTTTATGTAAAGTGAAGGTAAAACAAATGAGCTGGATTGAAGACACATTAAGCATGATTTTCATATTACCAGCCAACATGATGGGCTTTCCACACACAGATGTTCATTTATATTTAACATTCTAAGATCAGATGGTAATTTCTCTCTTTTTTTTCAAAAGAAAGTAATGTGAACATTGTGGATGAGTTTAACATGGGTAAGCTCTGGGCTGTTATTTGGAAACATCAAACTCATGAAGTGAGTGAAAGGTTGGTAACTGTGCGTCATGACTGGTGGCTACTGCTGCATTATCGATGTAGGTATTTTGTTTATGTACTTCCTTTTTTATTGTAATATAATTTTGTCTGGTTTGCTTCAGGTCACTGAACACACCCACACACACACCCACACACACACGCACGCACGCACGCACACACACACACACACACACACACACACACACACACACACACACACACACACACACACACACACACACACACGCACACACACACACACACACACACACACACACACACACACACACACACACACGCACACACACAATTGCATTGCTCCACTTGTAGGGACCTGGCATTGACTTCCATTCATTTTAGTGACTCCATTATGCCTAACCATAACTGGTCTTTTCCTACCTTTTTTGTTTTTTATTTTGTTTTTGTGAAGAGCTTCGTGATTTTTATCTTGAGAGGCGCTATAGAAATTATATTTTCTGCTTCTTCTTCTACTTACAACCACAACTAAAAATTAATTCACACCATATCTCTAAAACCAAGTATAAGGGTATTTTACCATTGTCCGGACCAGCCAATAGAGCTCTGGACGTCACGTGACTCTCAGAGAGTAGAAGCCATGTTGGCAGGCAACAATGCTATGAGTAATAAGACAGAAAAAGCCACGCCAAAATAAGTTTAGGAAGCCCACTAAGAATCGTAATAAAAGCATTTAAAATAAATACCATACACAGTTGAGGAAACGTTGGTTTAAGTACCTGATATGAAGTGGTTGCTGCATAAGTGAAAACCTTTACTCTCGGGATCCCACAGCTTCATTTTAGCCCAGTCATTAGCACGTTTTATTACAATGATCCAACGTTTGTGGTGCTCCGGATCTTGGGGAAGCCTGTAGATGACTGATTCCTTATGTCGTCCACGTCTGTTCTGCATCCTGGGGCACAACAGGAATCTACCATATTTCCTGTTTGATTGAGTTTTCTGACAATAACAAATAGTCCAGCTGTGGGCTTCTGCCTGCCAAGATGGCGCTGTTTCAATTTGAACTGTTGTATGCCGGGAGACGTGACGTCAACTCCCGGAGCTCTATTGCCCCCACGTTACAGGTTAAACATGAGAAAATGTCTCCAAAATGTAGTACAGAAAAACAGCCCCCCCCCCCCCCCCACACACACACACACACACCTTTAATGATGTGATGTTTGTATTTTATCACATTGAAATTGGTTGCACAAAACATAATCAACACCTTCTTTTAGTAGTCGTTTCTCATGACTTGATCATAATGTTTCACAGCTGTATTTTATCCTTGTTCTGCCTCTGCACATCTTTACAACCATAGCTTGGATTTAATTATTAAGTTCTGACCTTAGGCTGTACTGAAGAAGCCCTGTTTCCTCCCTGTGCTTCATCTTTTTGTGGAACTACGCCACACAACTTACATGCACTTGAACCTACAGAATAAAACATGCTTTGAGCTGAACCACATTGAGATGTGAATAGTGTTGTAGAAAAGAACTGAACTCTTAAAAGAATCCTGTTCATAGCAAATGCTAATGTGATAGCATCAGTAGATGGACTCGTTATTAAACCTGTCACACTCTGAAACATTTGAAACAGCCAGAAAATATAATAATACAAGGACCTTCTGAAAATGAAAAGGTTACACCTCTGAAATGATCTGCAGAACAAAGAAATGTTCAACTACATGATATTTAGAGCTTCTTTGTCAGGCTGATGGGCGCCTATTCACAGCTGGGAGGACTCAGTTTGGCCCCACACAATAGCTGCTGGAGGGAGACGTTCTGCCACCAAAACCAAGCCTCACTCAGCTCAATGAAAGCACCTTTGAGATAATGATGGAGGTGCTCCTAAGAGGCACCGTGGTCA